AAATTTTCTTTGATCCATTTAACTATTAATTACTTACACATATACTAAGAAAATGTTGTAATTTTACCTAGAAGATGAACCTTGAAACCCCGGTTACGGGCTAAGCTTTCCAGTTGATGTAACATGTAGTAAAAGGAAGCTGACATAGTCCAAAGCAGCGCCACCGGAATATTTCTCCGGCGTGCAACGGCGACCGGGAACTGCAACTCGACGTCGCCGATGATGGCGGTGACGGGAGGCTGAAGCTGATCAAGGAGGTTGTCAAAGGGAGCTTCGATGTTGGTTATGGCGGCTTGGAAGAAGCCAGGGGAGTCGGCGGCTATCTTAGTGTGGTGGGGGACGACGTTTGGGATGGTGGCGAAGCGAATGTTATCCGGCTTAGGCTCGGAGCCGATGTAGCCGAGCCACTCTTGGGTAACAACGATGGTGATAAGAAGAGCACCATCATCATGACCTTGTGATGTTGAAGAAGCTGCAATTAGTTTGCAGAGCCTCAACATGGGGGTCACGTGCCCTCGACCTGGGAAAGGCATGGCTACCACGTGACCACTAAACCTCATAGATGCTGGAACTTCCATCAATGACTCGTAAGTTATGCTTAGGTTAGATTAGATCTTTGATCTGTGAAAGGGGAAGAAGGCACAGGCTTTATGTGAAACTTTTTATATGCAGGAGTTCTTGGCATATTTTAATGGGAAAAACTATTCTTATGTCACATGATATAAGTTTTCTCTCCTACATACCCTTCGATAACTGTGCCACCTTTTTTCTTTTCTTTTCTTTTATTTTTCAGGTGGTGGAGCCCACTAGTTTATCTCTATGACATGTGATAACTATCTCCTTTAACATGAGATTAATAAAACCCTATTTTAATTATCTCACAAATAAAATATTAGTTGTTCTGTGATAATGTGTTTCAATTCATGAGTATTGACTCTAACATTGATTTTGATGCATTAAATTCTTTTTTTTTGAATTGCATTTAATTCGCCTGACTTTTCATTAAAATAAGTCCATTTGAAGATTTCAGGGATACCTATTAATAGTTTTTTTTGAAGGTGAGAGTGAGATAACACTTACAGTTTTTTAACATAATCATAGACCTACTCAAGTCTTGTTGTTTTGCAGTGTCCCTCCCTCCAGCTACTATTTGCCCATTTTCCTTCTTAGTGAACGAAGCAATTATTTGCACCATTGACATAGCTGTTAAATTGTCACGGACGGCTAACATGACAATGCATAAAAGTCAATATCTTCGCCTGTCTCACATTCTTATAATTTTTTGACCCGTACATAATTACACTTACATTTTTTCTTATCTTAATATTTATTTGATGTAATTGCATTTGTATATGGATTATATTTTTCTTATGCTATATAAAGAAAACAAATTTCATACATATATAAAAGAGAAATGGGTATTATTTTTATTTTTTTTTCTTTCCTTTTATCTTGTAGATCTCACTTGTAATTTTATTTTTACTATACGATATAATCTTTTTCTACAATATAAAAAAATTATTTCCTTTTACATATAATAAATAAGATTAAATGAAGTTGTTTTTATGTGACTTTTTTACTCGTCTAAGTCTAATTGTGTAACTATTCATCATTTTATTTTTTTTGACAAATAATTTACTAATCAAATGGTAAAGATGTCTATGTGGCAATATGCGATTAAGTCCCGTATCATCCTCTGTCACGTTTTGCACTGTGCAAGATGTGTATGGGGGAATGCGCGATTTGAACATGCTGATCTTGTAGAGTGTGACCTGGGACAGAGACGAGCTAGTTTTTGCGCAAGTCACACCGTGAGACAAGCAGGCCTTGGTTTTTGCTCAAATTGTATATGAAATAATGTGCCACTTGAAAGCACACTAAGATGAACGTCTTTTCACATTAAATTGATAAATCATTTATCAATGAGAATTAAACCAATGAATAGTTACATATTTTGCTTTACATGAGTATAAAAAACCTATTTTATTTGGATCTCTCATTATGACATTTCAGCTGACACTCCCCCTCGTGGCTCATGAGGGGAGTTATAATATTGTTATTAAAAAAGCAAACAAACAAACAAAACACACACCGCAGAAGGCACTTGCATTTCATGACAGACACAAATTTGCTACAACTATAAGCAAATTCACCCCATACCAGCAGCGGATTTAGAAAATTATTTGAACGAAGACAAAAATTTATATAACTATTATGAAAAGATAATGTCAATTTTAGTTAGAATGATTGTGCTAAAGATGCAAAAATGTCTCCTATGAAGAACCTAATAAAATTATAAAATTATTTTAGATATAAAAATTTTTTGCTATAATTTTTGTAAAATATATTATAATGTTTTTGCCTCTAATGACAGTGATTCAATGTTTTTTCTGTTTTAACGAGGAACTAATCTTAGGACCGTACTTCGAAGATAAAGTAGCGGGCAGGGAGCTTGTCATCGTAGATGACACAGTGTTAGGCTCTGATACCAAGTGTTACTAGAACATTTTTAATCAAATGATAGAAAATGGCAGAATTCTCAACATTCCTTGCCAATATAGCAAGGTGTTTGTGGATAAGATGTATTTACATGTTGGTATGTTTTCATTTTCAAAACTATATATAACTAGAAAAATACCTCCGAGCTATTTACCAAATTTATTTATTTTTTGCATTAGGGGTATGTTGGATGATTAGCAAAAATCTAAAATAAAATAAAATTAAAAATTGTTTTAAAACAACACAATATGTGTTTAAAATTTAAATCGAAAGGCAAAAGCAGCATATATAGAAAAGCCTTGAGCTCTCAAAGCGCTACACTAACATCAATGTAATGTTTTTTTTCTCTAATTTTAAAATAATAAAATTACTAATGAAAAAAATTACTAGAACATTTTTAATCAAATGATAGAAAATGGCACAATTCTCAACATTCCTTGCCAATATAACAAGGTGTTTGTGGATAAGATGTATTTACATGTTGGTATGTTTTCATTTTCAAAACTATATATAACTAGAAAAATAAAACATTAAATCATTCAAATTCATATTTATGATAAATTATTTATTATTGTGCACAGACTACAAGAAACAACTATTTTCTTTCGGTCTTATCATACTGATGGATAATCACATATTAATAGTATTAATAATTTTTTTTTCAGATTTAAAAGGGCCGGGGGGCCACCCTAGCCCCGTGTCACACAATCACTTTTACATACACACATCTTATTTTAGTATAGAGAGCAACTAGGAACAAAGCAAAAGAACATAAACGAAAAGAGAGGAGAACGAAAAACTCAGTGACAAAGAGAGATAGAGAACCTTGAAAGGCCAAACCAAAGCTTGTTGAGGAGCCCCTGCTATGCCTTCTTTCATCTCCAATGGGGATGAGTTATTAATTTCAAAGAATGAGATAGCAGGGTCAGCAGAGTAGAGGAGAATGACATTATCGTGTTGCTGAGTATCTTAGCACTATAATATCACATAGTCACGTTTCGAAAATAAAAATGGGCATTTTACTGCTTTTAACCCTTCCTATGCATTGCAATACTTTCTCATAATTACCATGGAAAATAGTGAGCAAATAAACTGTGAGTTTTATAAGAGTTATGTTGTAAGAAACGTGATTGTGTAATGTTATAGAGATTCGTTTTGCGTGCCTTAGTTTTTTTTTTTCAAAAAGTGCAGACCCCACAAAATATTGTGTGTGTAAATTTTTTTTTTGTGTCATGTGACATGATAGATGCAAATTCCATAAACTATTGTTGTTGAATAAAATATTCTTACAACTCAGAACGTAAATAAGATGATTTTCATTGATATCTCCACAGGTTCGAACTGAACAAAAGTTGCTTACAATCTGTGATATATATCAGAAAATACAAACTGGAAAAAGAAAAACCAGAGCAAAGCTACCGACAGCAAGACCAAATTAACTAGCCGAGGTTAAGTTAACTAACTAAAGTAAACAACTAATCAAATGAGTTAAAGGAGTATAGTACAGTAAAAAAGTAAGATTTTTTTTTTAGTAGAGAAAAAGTAAGATTTTACTAAATTCTATTAAATATAAAATTAGAAGCATTTTAATTAAGGAAAAAAAACCTTCTCATATCGCATGAAAAGTCTTTTCTCCTACTACCATTACTTCAATATTTGTGTCAGCCACTTTTTTATTTTTTATTTTCTTTTTTAAGGTTTGCCTGACTCCTTTCTCTTTCAATACAAAAGCTCCAACTTCTTATTGTAAGCTCTTAACTACTAATTATAGTTGATTTAGTGGTAAGTGTTATAAATTATAATCCACATGATTTAGGTTCCAATTCTATTATTGGTATTTTTCAAGTATTTTATCCAAAATTTCACAAAATTAATTTTTTTTAAAAAAAATAGGTGCTAGTTTAATATCGGTTGAATCAGGTTGAAGATCAGTTCATCAATTTTATATTAAGTCAAATACATAACCGGTCCAAAACGGGAGTCAATTAGGAATCCGGTTTATGAGTTAACCGGTCAGATCGGTTTTTATTGAAGAAACGCCAGAGATGTACTCTACAAGGTTCTTTTGCATTATTTGGGAAGCAAACCAAAAGTCTTCTCAATCTCTAGTATTTCACAGCTATGTTTTCTTTACTTGACTTTAATAAAATTTAATATCCATTGAGAAGAAAATTCTGTTAAATTAACAGTGGAAAACCAAAATGCTTTTAAGGGGGCGTTTGGTTAAGGATAAATTTTGTGAATACTAGGAAAATAGAATTGATAGGGAAATGGTAAGAAAGTGAGATAAAGTGAGATAGATAGGAAAATGTAAAAAAAAGTTGTTTGGTGGGGAAAAATTTTACAGGAAAAATTAGGTAACTTTTAAAAAATGTATGTTTGGTTGGAGGTAAGATATAGATGGAAAAATCATCTGAAATGACAAAAATACCCTTGAGTTTAACTGTTTTGTTTCGCTGGCCATTACAAGTGAGTTGTCAAATCCCAACGTCTCAATGTGATAAAATGGACCCTATCCAGCGAGCATAAAAAAGAAAGGGGAAAAAATATCTGTGTGTGAGGGCTTGTTCTTCGTCAAGGGTTCCGATCTGCAAGCAAGGGGGACAACGAGGCCGTGTTCAACAGTGAGATTAAAGCACACAAAGAAGGCACGAGCAACCAGTAGACTCCGCTGATCAGAACCGACCTGGGAGCGTAACGAAAGAAAACAGATATAAGTGATGGCTGTATAACTCGTACGAGGTATGCCCATCGCTCTTTGAACAAATTTGTTATGGGTATCGTTGTTCTGGTCCAAAAAATGGTGTTCAATAATTATTTAGAAGAACCGTTATAAGTTATGTTTCTGTTCAACTCGTACGAAGGAAGCATTCAATTGAAAACCTTCTGATTGTAACCGGAAATGTAATAGTCAACCATGGTACCTGGTGTTTATGAAGCTAAATGAACAGCGACAGAACTTATAAACACACACAACCACGTAACACTATAATCGTATAAAAATTGGTCAGAACATAAGAAGTTAGGAATGAGTTTGTGAGATTAAACTATTCTTATGTTGAACATAAATGAACAAAATATTAATAATGCATTTTAAATTTATTAGTGTATGTTGTTATGAACCTGTTGTTGAAATGTTATTGTTGGAAAGTGCTTCTTTTAAACAGTTTTGGTTCATAGTATAGAAATATGAGTTGGTTTGTTGCTTGTAAGTTTAACTGAACTCGTGATCAATGTCATTCTTCTTACCTGCAGTAACCAAAAATAGTTTGTGACTGGTGGGAGGAGTCTTGCAACAGACTACTGTGTGACCATTGACGGAAGAATGGGTGGAAGTGGGTCCGGCATAGGCGGAGGTGAAAGCCTAATTTCCAGGCATTCAGCCTCCTCGTCCCCTTCTAGGGTGAAGATGTGTTATTGTGGAGTGCCGGCTGCGTTGCGCATGTCAAATACACAGAGGAATCCGGGCTGATAGTTTCTTCGATGTGCTAATTCCAGGACTCAGCACGATTGTCACTTTTTTGAGTGGTTTGACGAACCAAGTTGCCGTAATTGTCTGATAGTGGATAAATGTATGAAACAACAGAATGTTTTGCTAATTGTAATTGTTATAACATTTGGGATCATCATGACCACAATGTTGATCTTCCGTTGACTTGTATTGTAATGGTTTAGGGTATGTGTTGTTGTATATAGTTGTACTAATGTTGTGTGGATCTTTAATTTAGGGTAACCGTCGACCATGATGGCCTTGACGTACCATTTCATCTTATGGAACTGATATCTACTTTTTGTGTGATTGACATAACTATTGTATGAAATTTGTTTGTTTGCTATATGTCATTTGTGAATGTCAATAAATTATGATGTTGTTATGTGTGTCTATGCATATTGGTTATGGTTATTTCTGGTTTCTGGGTTTATTAAGCAAACTGTAGAATCTGGATTTGATAGCAGGTTTATGTGGTGTACATGGGAAGCAAAACTGGTAAACACCCACATGTTAATTCTGAAGCAAAACCATGACATGCTTGCTGCTGTTCACAGTGGAAGGTTATAGTTAATATCACTTTTATTTTTTTTGCATTTTCTTAATGACCCATTATTTCAGATAAGTGATTTTTATTATTATTTTTTAAATGTTTTGACAGCATTGAGCAAGCCCAAGCTTCCCATGTTCATAGCTACAGACATGGTTTCATAGGCTTTGCAGCCAAGCTTATTGATGAACAGGCTTCCCAAAGTTCTAGTAAGTAGTGGAGATTTCATCCTGTTGTTTCTTTTCATTTTCTTAACTTACTCAATGTTCAAATTATCCCTAACCCTCAATACTTATTTTCTGTATATTGTTGTTTCATTTAGACCCAGAAATTATTGGCTCCTATAACTTTTGTATGTTCAAAATTGACCAGAAATGGCAGGAGTGAAGGCAGCTCGCTGTTCTGGGATGTTCTGGGATGAGTAGTGAAGGCAACTGGCTGTTCTGGGATGACTACTCTTGATGTTTTAAAGCATAATGTATGGCATGTGAAAGACCTTATTCAAGTAAGTCAATTGTAGCTCATGATATTACTTTTCTTGCTGCTAGAGCCAGTTATTTATTTATTCTTGCTGCTACATGTTGATGTAGTACTCAAAGCATTGATCATTGTTTCAAGTTTATTTGTGGAAAGTCCTTATTTTTCTCAACCTCCCTGGAGTTATTGAGTAGCACTAATACTACAATATGTGAACAATATACATTATGAATTTATATACTCAGAAAACAGTTGCAAGGATTTAATGATGATTCAATGTACATTGTGTACTTTTCTTCTAGTAACTTCTTTATTATAATTTGATGACAATATGATTTAATGATGTTAAATGCACATAGTGGGATTTTGTCTATCATATTCGGTGAAGTTAATGTTTTTAATGCCCTTGTATCTTTCTTCCCTTTCATGAAACTTGTACCTTCAGCTTGTCATATATAATTCTTATCTTGGTACTTCCTGATAATCCTCCTTGGGCTTTGTCATCACTGACTTCAACAGATTTAGATGAGTCAACTTATTTAAATTAATGCTTATTATTGCCATACCAAAAAAAACTTAACTTTAAACATTACCAATAAGATTAAATGGATATATTTGAATTCAACTATACTAGATATGTTATAACATTACCAATAAGATTAAATGGATATATTTTTGGCTCTTTTAGACTGAAAACTTAAAGATTATGGATAATTTTTGGTTCCTGTTAGTCCTGAGTACTTTATATATTCTTGAAGTTGCCTTACTGTTTGTTTCTCGGATCTCTTAATTATTTGTGTCCTCATGATTTATTGCAAGTATCTGCCATGCTTGAACGGTGCTTATATACAGAATTCGATGGTGGACTTGAAGTATGCACCACTAATATTGCAGTGCAACCCATGATCCATAGAGATGAGATTGATTGTTGTTGTGTATAATGTCATATGAGAAGAAGGAACATGCTTCTTCACCTCAAGAAGCACCACACCAGACGACTTCGAGAATGGGGAGTGGTTTAGTGGACGATATTTCAATAGGACAGTTGCCTTTGAAGAGGGTCAAATTGATATCAGACATGTTGATTCCATCATGCGAGTCATTGAGTTGAAGAGTTTGACAAGGGGGCATCAGTAGGTGCAGAATGACAACGCTCATTGGGGAATTGTTTGCAGCATCAAATATAACTGAAGTCCCATGGATTAGCATCCGTTCTATAGTCACCAGATGCATTGCTGGATCATCATGAATAGAGACTTCGAAGCCATCTACAGACAATGATAGAATGTCCACGCCATCTCTGATTGTAAGGGTTGAAGTGCAAAGGGTATGGGTTACAAGTGCAAGATTCCATTTTGTATATAGCTGTTACATTTCCATTAGGAGTCATAGTTGTTATGGTAGTGTTAATGTGTCTGTAACAATCACACTTATGAATTACATTACTTTTCAAAAGCTGGAATCTGTAATTACAACAGTTGTCATGAGTCTTGGGGTCGGTTTTTCCCACAACCCATTTATTGAATCAGGTTTTGATGCAAATCTGATTTTTTTTTTTAACTTGAATGTAGTCAGAAGGTGACTCTTGTAATCTCATTATTGATGAATAAATTGGCCTTCGTGTATCCCACAATTTTCGTAGTCTTATTATTTGATTCTATTTGTCAAATAGTTTCTTTTCCAATTTGGAATAGTTTCTGCAAATAGCTGCAGCAGTTGTCAATAACAAAGACAGACTTTGACATAGTCCATACAGTTGGACAAATCAGGTTTTGAGATAGATATTAAGAAGAATTAAAACCAGGAAATTTAGTTAAACAGCCTGATATGAGGAGGTATACCGAATGACATTTTGGTTAAATTACACGGATTGCTGGAACATATGTCATGCTGCAACATTGAAGCTAATATAAAAGATACAAAAAATACAGTACTTTGTGCCATGATGTACTGCCATTAGTATGACAAACCCCTAATGGCAGTCATTACAGTGTCCTATGGTGACATGTACTCTATGGTATTACATGTATTTTATGCAAATAATAGTGTCCTGATATGAGTTTATATTCCCCTAAACACCATCACGTGGGCTTCACACACCAATTCACATGTGTCACTTTAGCAGCTGCACCATACTATCAAACAGACTTGTAAATTGATTAAAACAGGAAGATTATAATTGTCAGCCACAAGGATGAAATGCCACATGTAAATTAAATTAACTGCTCACTTTAGCAGAGGGTAATGTGACCCACCTGTTGTTGAAACTCCCATACATGGCTCCTATAATTGTTGTCTATAATCAATGCAGCATGACAAAGTCATTTCACAAAGTTGCTCACTGTATCCAGATTTCATGCCCTTCCCATCCACTCCATGACAACTTACCATCACATTCAGTAACATAGCATATTTAACAGCATTGTGGAGATATTTGACAAAAAAAGTAACCACCATTCAGTTCCAGATTCATTACCATAACAGGTTCTGACCTGCATAAAAATATTAAATAGACAGATAATCCTATGTCAGTAATGAAGACATCTCACCATTTAAGTCATGCACTGTGAGAATTAAAAATCACACAGTGATGGAGATTGATTACCAGATTATGAACATGATGCATAAAAGTATCAGAAAATCAGTACCTTTTGCAAAGACCCTTTCTGTTAGTAACAGAAACCAAGCACACAGTAATGAGGATCTACCAAAGCTGTATGTTGCAAAATCCAAAGTTTTGCTGTCTTCATGACTATAAACATGTTATATATATTCCCTCTTATCCCAAAACCACTTCAAACCACACCAAAAGGTACCATACACAGTATGGCTATATACACAAACCCTTCAAAAAAACTGACACCTATGTTTATAGAGAATTAGACAACAAATCAGCCAGGAGACACTTCCTTTGCTGATCATTGCATTGCATAAATACATCTGTCAAAGTTGTATCCTTTCCCAACTGCACCGCAAGTTTAACCATCTGTGAATCAGTCAGATCTCCAATTTTTTCCAGTTCTTCCATAATTGACATCCGCCTTTTACTCCCATTAGCTTGATGCTGAAAGCATGAAACCAGCTTGTCAATACCTTCACGGTAGTTTTGATTTATATCTTTCATTACATCAACTATTGGAGAAACCAATAGATCTTCTGGTTTGTCACGCTTCTTTCCCTTCTTGGCAGTAGCAGTAGAAACATCTGAGGGCGGCACAATTTCTTCATTTGGGACATCTGGTATCACTGGATCTTCTAATGGTGTGGGTATGTAGTCCCCCGTGAGGTTTAGATAGTCGTCAAATAAATTAACACTCTCTGCATTGCATGCCGTATTTGACTCCATGACATTGACCGATTGTCCCATTGTCTCTGCATTACCTCCGGTTGCTGCATCCTTGCCAAATATGATTCCCAAAATATCATAGTGGGGGAAAGGCTTATTGTAAAGGCCCTTTGCATGGGGGTGAGACTGTGGATACAGAAGTCAGTTAAACACTGAATACAAAAACAAAACAACAGATAAAGCTATTTATAATTAAACAAATAACTTCAAACACTATCACCTTACACCAGTCATCAAATACTTCCTTCTCGACATCAATCATTTTCTTCGCGTCATTCCAACCAAAACCACTCCCACCAGAACCTCCGGTCATTTCATGAATGGCATTGTACTGTTTTTTCAACAATTTGACCCTTGAGGTGATGTGAAGGATGGCCTTAAGGGAACAATCAGGTATCATGTTATGCATCATCTTCTCAATTGCATTAGAGAAGCCTCCTTTGAACCCGTTCTCACCCCTCCAAAGATGTGCAACTTCAGTCATACATTCGACCAAGATCTTATCTTCATCGGCAGTCCAAGTGTGATTACGTTTGTTTCTGAAACTCAAGCTTTCCTCGGTCATAATTTCGGTGTTCCAAGATTGTACCTGCGATAAACAGTTTCAAACTCAGTACACTTAATATGTCAATAGTTTTCTGCCATAAAATTAACACGAATTAAATAAATAACTATTGAATTGCATAAACACCCCTTAACCCATTCAACGAAAATTCAATAAGTAGAGTACATGGCCAATATGTTTGTCAAAGTACAAACTGATTACAACATAAACGCAAATAGCTACAAGTGTACATAACATGACAACGGAAAAAAAAAAAAATGCATAATGATTGGTTCATCTCTGTTCAAATTCAAACACGATTCCTCCAGTTGTTAAACATGTTATGTGCCATTTCATCCCTGCGCAGTGTCCATGCATTAGATGACTCCGCATGAGTGATCAAATCTAGTCCTCCCAAGTTATCTTCAACATGTTGCATATCAACTTCTTCAGCGTCCAATGGGTCCACTGTCATCTCTCTCCTTATATGGTTATGAAGCAAGCAACAAGCACTGATAATCCTGCATTGAGTTTTAACTGGATAAAATGACTTCGATCAGACAATAGCCCAACGCCCCTTAAGCATCCTGAAGCAACGTTCAATGACATTCCTTGCAGAGGAATGTTTCATATTAAAAAATTCTTGGGCTGTTCTTGGTTGGGCACCGTGCCTCCATTCACTAAGATGATATCATTGTCCTCTATATGGCGTAAGGAAACCTTCCCCATTCATGTAACCAGCATCACCTAGGTAATAGTATCCTACATCACAAGTTACAGTTAACTTATATCAAAACATGTAATGTAGTAAGTAAAAAAACTGACCCACAATAAATGATCAACCGCAAAGAGTCATAGTGCATACCTTAAGGAACCTTCAAACCGTCTGGACGACTTATGGCATCTCTTAGAACCCTAGAATCTGCAGCTGAACCCTCCCAACCAGGCAAGACGATAATAAACTGACCATCTTGAGAACAAACCCCTAAAACATTAGTTGCTATGTCACCCTTTCTAGTCCGGTATCTGGCCTTATCCGCTTGTAAGGGGTTAATCTTTATGTGTGTCCCATCAAGTGCTCCCAAACAATTCTATAATTCAATTTAGACTATTAGTAACACGGACACACGCTTGGTGACTGAAATGTATAGCATGAATTATACCAGTTAGGTAACTAGTAACTTACCTTGAACCACTTCCACTTATCATCAGTCGAGTTTTCCAGGATTGGCTCAAGTCGTTTTAGTAGAACATTATGACAACGCAATACTGAAAGCAAAACATTAGAGAACTGTCTACTAATGGTTTCTCCCGATCTCATGAATTGTCTTTTAATTATCCTGTTCTTGACATCGTGAGCCAATATATGAAGAAAGATTGCAACCATCTCCTCTACTCCCATATGGCTTGTCAGTTGAAGTTGACCAACAGTTTTACGCAACCCACACAAGTTATGGAAACACCTTCTGTCCATCCGTGTATTCTCTATACACGCCGTGTCACTTATGTGAACAATCCTAAGGAAGTTGACTTCCCTTACTCTAGCCCTCCCACGTTCGTCCAATGAGACTCTCCTGCGTCTATTTTTCCGGTTTTCAGCAATGCGTAACAAAACAGCACATATACTGACAAACATGTTAGTCAGTTGATGGAAAGACTCCAAATGAGTAATGAGTACGAGTATGACACTAAACTCCATTCCATTGTCGATGGCCATTATCTAACACATGTAGGACAAAAAGATTCAGGTAAGTAATTACCAAAAAATATTAAATATATTACTCATCGTATTGAAGATAATAAACATTTCGTAATATGGAAAACATAACATCTCACCGACCTCATTCTTAACAAATTGGATTCCTTTTAAATCATGTTATGACAGATTAAGTTTATGTATAATATGAAGATAATAAACTTTTCGTAGGATGCTGACAGTAAAGACTTTACTCTAAGGCCATTCGTAAACATAACTGGGCCATATTAAGGAAGTGATTTTTTTTTACGGAACAAAACCAGCTTCATTATGACTCCTCAAGTCCTATCCTATTCCTATAGCTATGTCCCTCCAAGGATTCGGTTTAAGTTGTAAACTCAATTAGGCCCAAATGATACTCATCCAGCTCCAATAGCCTAAAAAAAATAAATTACAGGTACTTCCTTCTGATTAGTCTCAACTGGACAGCTTTCTTCTTTTTTTTTTGTATTGAACTGGACAGCTTTTTCGTCCCACCATTAAATAAAGTAATTGTACATTTAAATTTTCCAAATAATGTCATCACTTTTCAAGTGATAAAACTACGCTCAAGGAAAATAAAATAGGATGTTATTGCCCCAACTTTCAACTAAGGTGCAATTAAATACTATTTATATTATTTTTTAAATGTTTAATTCTACTCATTGTGGTCCCCATAGTAATCAAATAAAGAGCTTCAAACATATGTTCCCAGAGAGCACGAGTAGACTAGATGATGGGCACACAAACCTAGCAAAAAAACCTTTCAAATATAATCACTATCTTCAAGTCTCCATGGTTTTTAGAAGTCACTCTGTTATAATTGTTAGTGCAATATTGTCATCACAAATTTGGTGGTGATTGGTGTTGGGATCCTGTCATTAAAAAATGATGACAGACTATGATACACAATAGCATAATCATGATACACAAAATATTGAAGCCAGCATAAAGATCATATAATAACTACCTTTTTTAATATGAATATTTAAAAATTGTT